AAGTGGCACAAAACCAAAACTACCCGTATCTTGGGCCCACAGTTTTCTACGAGTGTACCATGGCCATATTGGATTCCAACATGAGTTTGGTACACTTGTAGAAAGGCCTTAAAGGACCCACCCAAGTTTGTAGTGCGTTAGATAACTCGAGCAAAGCCGACTTAGATATGCATACAAACTTAAAAGAAGCACTTGGAAATCAGTTGGAAAACATGAGCATCAAGTTTTAAAGGATTTTTGAAATAGCGCACGCAAATATGAGAAAAAATTAAACGTAAGAAAAAAAAATATCAGGTGGTCGGCCCTTAGGATTAACCGCTAGAGTTGGGACTTGGATCAGATGAAGATGTGAGCCCTTACTCTTTTTACTTTCGAGATTTGTATATGTAGATTTTGTTAAACTCCGGGAAAGAGTTGAGCTTAGGAATTTACATCTTGGGCTTCAAAGTTTAAGAAGTGGCTTCTTGTCCTTATGGTTTGTTGTAGCTTTATGAGATTAGGGCTTAATGGCTGCTGGATCTATGGTCGTAGATGTAGGGCTGGGATGCCTAATTGTAGGGTTTAGTCCCAAAAACCACTGAAAATGAACTATTAGACCAAGAACACCCAAACAGGAAGGCGGCCGTCCCGATTTAATCTAGATCGTCAAATGTTCTATGATGCATATCATGATGCTGCCCTATTTTGTGTTTGGATTGGCACATTAAATTTCAAGCGTGCCTAATTTGGTGAGATTTTAACAATTTTAGCCATGTACGGTTTCCGGTCTAGTGATTTTAAATATTTTCTATCCTTTTCTTAACTACGAGACACATATTTTAGATTCTAAGTCTCATAAATGGGATATTTATGAATAATTGGGGAATATTCTTAGGACTGGATTATAGTATGGTGTAGACTACAGTCTGGTGTGCCCTATGGTTCATTAGGCTAGTGTATTCCCAGGTTTAAGGACCCACAAATAAATTTAATTTCGGTAGGGTAGACTACAGTCTGGTGTGCCCTATGGTTCATTAGGCTAGTGTATTCCCAGGACAAATAAATTTAATTTCGGTAGGGTGTCTACACTTCTTACGGTAAAAATCCTAGTTAGAGCATTTTTAGGACCTCAAAATTTAGGGTTGGGACAACCCCTCAACTAACTAAAAAGATACAAAAGTTTACGTGAATCCTAATCCCAGGCTTTAGCTATAAAAAAAATAAAGTGACAACTCAAAATCCCACCAAAAATGCAATTTTGGCACAGGAGGGAAATGATATGATGCAATAGTATAATGCAACCACATCTTTAGAAAACCATATTTTTAGCATTGGTATGACTCCAAATTTTGCACACACATTATCTTCATCTTCATAATCAATCCTATAAAAAAAAAAATTCAATTTCTACCCTAGATATGGTCAAAATTAGTACCCATCCAATAATGAATCTCGACCATCCATTTGGTGAATTTCAAGATCTAAGCCTTAACAAATTCAAAATCATTTTTTCTTCTTTAGCATTATTAATCTAATGATGAAAACACTATATAAAAATTTTGGGAATAAAAAAAATCCTTTTGAGGCTTATATCTTACCATCTCAATAAAATAGACGGCTTATATTAATTGGGCTAGAATGAAAACTTTCTTGAGAATTTTTCAAATTTTTTTTTTTGTGATTGTTTTTCAGAATGAAAGGATTGTGTATTTAAAAATTCATGTCAAACAATTGTCTCTAACATGATTTTTGAAGATGATTGCATTATACTACTGCACAACCATTGCATGAAATCATTCCCCAATTGGAATAGGGAATATTAACTTTGCAATTATGGATCTGAAAAGAAAAGTTAATTTCAAACCTAAAAAATAGTATATCTTCTAACACACTATATAAAATGTAGATTTTAAGTGTTTATGGATCCTTCGCCACATATTTTGAGCTTTAAATATTATAATCAACAACGAAAATAATTTTTTAGGTTATGACAAGGGGTTTGGGTGAGGAAAATGCATGTTTTGAGGTGGGACTTTACTTTTTAACCTAGAGCCTAGGCCTTAAAGTTAACCGCACCCTAACATAAACGCAAGCCTTAAATATGAGCCACACATCAAAACCCTACAAGAAAATGCTAACTCCGGTGCAAAAAACCCCCCTAAAGCTTGAAGGTCTATTTCGGCTCAAGGTTGTGGAATTTGAAGCTCGACCTAAAATAGCTTGGAGGTCTATTTCGGCTGAAGGTTGTGGAATTTGAAGCTCGAAAAATCGTGTAAATCTAACAGCTCAATAAACACTTGAATATGGATGATTCAAATAATGTATTACAATATACAAATATACATTATTTTAAGTACGTAAAATCCATTTTTGTACACATATCCAAAAATTGAGACGATCAATTTTAGGGTTTTATTATGCCAGAGCTATATTTCCAACAAGATTTTAAGGTGGAACTTTATTTTTATAAGCATTGTGCATTATACACACTTTTCACACATAAAAAAAAAGGGATTGTCTATAACAGTGTTCAAAACAACGGATCGGGCTGACTAGTCAGTCCTAACCTGATCCAATTAGTCCGACCTATTCCTACTAGATCGGTTGATTAGTGCCGCGATTTTTTTTGAAAAATGTATTTTTGGTAAAACAACTCCCAAAAAAGTCAAAAGATCCCAATAAAATTTAAAAAACATTGTAAACAATGTTTAAAATTTACATGTTTAATATTTTGATATTGTCACATAAAAAAAGCAAAAAAAATTATGTTCGGATAAAGTGATTAGGCACTTGAAGCAATATTTTTTCAGTGATCAATATATAATAAATGAGTAAAGATCTTATGAGACACTGCCACACCCATCTGTGTAGGACCCCAAAGGATCACCATTAAATTTAACACAGATCTCTAAAAAAATCAAACCTCACACCCATGAGATAACGTTTCTAGAGATATGTGCCAAAATTAATAATGATCCTTTGGGGTCCTACACACATGGGTGTGAGAGGGTCTTATGAGATCGTTACTCATAATAAATATAGGGATTGTATGCAATGAGACCATTTACCGTTGATATTAAGTGGTCACAATTACTTACAACCCGAAGTGAAGTTTGATAGCTTGGATGTGTCACAAAATTCGAAAAAATTTCTTTTGAAGTTTGAGTTTGGTTAATGGAATAATTGCAGCCACCCAATTTCACATCCAATAATCAAGATTAATGTCTCACCTTGTACCAAAGGTAAATGGTTTCATTCTATACCTTCCCATAAATATATATTAATATTATATATTATATATTATATTTAATCAATATATACTATATAATATAAATTACATTAATAAAATAAATATATAATAAAACATGATATAATATTATAAAATATTATAATATTTCAACTCGAGACCTTTTTTTTGTGGGTAATTTAGAATTCAATTAAACATATAGGTAAACTATAAAAAATTTCGTCTTTTTGTGACAATTTTGATAAATTTCCATCTCTCTCTCATATCTGTGTCTATGTGTCCCTCGAGGGGTTGGTGGCGAAAGTATTAGATTGAAGATCAAACCAGCTTAGCACTCTGTCGTGCCCGACCAACTTTGGCGCGTTTGAGTCTACTCGCCCAAGGTGGCAAACCTTGCAGTTACCAAATAAAAAATTTACAATAATCTATAAAGTTTTAAGTACAGAAGTAGAAGAAGGAAAATTGTTTTATGCAGACTGAACCACGTTTCTACAATATGCGGTCCAAACGTATAAAGCATCCAAATATGTAGTCCATCTAAAAACAAGCGTAACTAACGGTCCAAATGTTTTCTTAATATAATCATTATTTCTACTTTTCAAATTATTATTTTTTCATAGTCATGATCTCCTATTAATTGAAAAAAAGCTAAAATGATGATGATGATTCATAATCTCCATGTTAAAGATTATATATTCTCTAAAAATTAGGATCAATTTATATTTAAAAAATATATTTATTGCCAAGCTTATATTTCTACAACATGCGGGTTGGCCGAATTGACATCGTGTCCATAGAAGAATAGGGAAAAGAAAAAAAAGGAGAAATATATAAAAAATGCTATGAGGATAGCTTTGATTTTTAAAACAAATCACTGATTAGTACACTGAAAAAAATTTCTTGGATACTGGATAGTTGGAATCAAGCCAGATCGGGAATGCCCAGTGACCAATCCCGAGTTAGTCGGCCGATTTTTTAAAAATCAGCCGATCTTTATACACTAGTCTATAAAGAGTTATTATCTTTTGTTGAGGGATGTCACAATCACTCTTGTCCCTTAAATTTTAAAATGGGTGATGGTAAGAGTATCATTAAATAAACACCAAGTGTCAAAAAAAACATTTGGAACTTCATGACTCACCCTAAACTATCCAATTTGACAGTTAATAAGTGAGAATAGTTGTGACATCCATGTACGAAAATAAATAATCTCTTCTGTAGACAATCCAATAAAAAAAAAAAAATCATGCAATAGAGAAAAAAAGCATGCCCTAATAATTAATATAAATCGTCTTGTAATACATTTTTGGACCGTCAATTTTCAAGATTTTCATAGATCTATTCGATTTACACTATTTTTGAAATTTTAAATCGTATAACTAGAGATAAAAATATGTTTTAAGGCTAACAAAGATTTCCAGTATTAAAACCGTATTTCTCATACTAATTAAAAGTGCACTCTACTTTGATCGTTTAGAGCCTCGGCTCTATACAAACCACACTCAAAAAATATAGATCAGCCTCGGCCTTATGCACACTTCTACCAACCAAAAAAATTCGAAGTTCTAAGTTTTCACAACCAGATCCAGAAATATAGTAACTCAATAACCCTTTGTCTTTTGTTGAGTTTAATCATCTTCATTTCAAAGCAGATGCAAATATTTCAAAGCGGATCGGATTCAAATATTTTAGATCGAGAAAATCAGGGGTCTGCCTAAAAGTACAATTTGCTCCCATGGGAGCACTAAATGCACGCCTGATATGAAAAGTGTGGTCGGTTGAAGTTTCTCTGCTTAGTTTAGAAAATAAAAATATGAAAGCACACTGTGCTCCTAATTAATCGTCACCGTCCCTGGAGATCATCACAATCTCAGCCGTAGATTTAAGACAGCCTTTTATTTACATAATAAATACACATATGGCTTACGCCTTCTCATTTACCAACTCCACTGTGCAGTAGTGAGTGATCAGGTAACCCCATCCCCAGAAACAAGAGAGAGAAACCCTAATTAGCGGCCATCCCTTTTCCGGTCGATTTCCGGCCATTTTTCCGGCCATCTGAGATCAACTTCTCTATCTCCAATTGAGTCGAAGCCATGATTGCAGTTTCCTTCTTCTCCATCTCAACTCTCTTTGCTTCAAGCTCAGCTCTAACCCTCTCAATCTCTCTCATCGCCTTCCTTTCTCTCTCTTCTAAACTCATCAAAGCCTCCATGACCCAACTCGCCGCCCCTTTCCTCTTCTTTTCAGACATAAGCTCATACTTCGCCGGAATCTTCGCCGGTATTTCTTGACTCGCCGGAATCTTCCCCTCCTCTCCGTTTGCCTCGGCCTTGGAACACCGAAGCAACAAGTCGAGTCTATGAAACAAAGGCCATGTAGAAACCGCTCCACTGCTCGACTCGGATCGATAACGCCTCTTCATCGACTCAATCTTATTCTTGCATTGAGTCAGGGTTTTAGGTGCCCTGGATGAGGCTCCTCGGGACGACACGTGGCGTGCCACGTCAGCCCAGTCCTGGGACTTGAGCTTGGCTCGGTTGCGCTGGACCCACTTCGACTGGTAAGCCCCGAGTAAGGTGGAGATCGCGCCATCGCTCCACTCGTCACGCCGCGGCCGAGCCGTGGGCTCTGGCCGAGTCCGACCGTTGGGCTCGGACTGGGGCGCTATCGATGCCATGGCCCTAATGGTATTTTAGAACCTAGCTTTAAACTGCGACGGGTCCAGAGGATGAAGGCTAGCAGTGGCTTGGAGTTATTTAAAGTGTGGCAGTTGGCCTTATCTGTAAAAGTTTTTTTCCGGAAATGCCACAACTTTTCTGTAATGACGATGAGCACTCATATTTTTCTTTGGACCCGGTTACGGCCAAGCCCGCATATGTACAAATGCGGGCATATTAATAATTCTATGTTTGCAATGGATATTTGGACTTAATTTTTAAGGACATTTAATAATTTTATGTTTTGACTTAATTTTTATGGAGATCATGAATACGAAAAAAATAAGTAAATTTAAAAATTTGAAATAATAATTCTAGTAAGAAAACATTTTGATCGTTAGTTTCCATTGTTTTTAGATGGAACACCTATTTGCATCTATCGTTAAGATGGATGCTTGCATTTGTTGGACGCCATATGTAGTCATTTTACTTTTTCTTTTTCTTTGGGTGCAGTTTGTATAGAGCCGAGTAAAATGCACCTTCAAATAGTATCGAGAAATGTGGTTTTAATAGTTAAAATTTTTGTGAAGCCTTAAAATATACCTTCATCTTTAATTCTAAAATTTAAAGTTTTAAAAATAGTGTAGATCGAGCATATTTATGGAAATTTAAAAATCTTGAAAATTGACAATACAAAAATGCATTACAAGATTTATTATTTCCAAAACTTGAAATCTATTTTTTTTTTTTTCTCATCTCTGTACATCTTGAGGTCGAAATGATCAATTTGAGGATATTTGAGAATCAAAACAATCTTTTCTAGTGAAATTCTTGATGTGTCCTCTAATTTGAATGTTTAGAGCCTCTTACTTATATAAACTTTTTTTTTTGTTCGGGGGGAGTAACATCAGTATAACTTTCTACGGTGTGGAAATTTTTTGTTGTTATGGTACATTCAATATTTCAGATTAAAGCATGATGGCATGATGCATGTGAGCTTGGTTATTTTGACAATGGATGGTTGGCATTACATGTAGTACACTGTTTGTATTATGGTATCCTTTCACCTATCATGCTTTTAAATTCTAAAAAGTGAAGTTTTGTAAACCATCAATAACATTGGACTTTGATGACAACTTCAATATTTCCCAATTTTGAATATGACTATTCCAATCAATTTTTTCTCAAAGTAGTAGCCTTTGCTTTTTGCTTCTGAAACTCAACTTCTGAAGTCAAAATATGCAAAGATAGGTGGAATAGGATCTGAGCTGTGTAGCCATTTCAATTTCCAGCCATAAAACATAAATCAATGTCATTTAAAAATTTTCAATTGTCATTCTCTAATTAAAGTGGGGTGTGGTTAGTATAAAGATGAGTTATTAAACAATCAAAGTAGGACATACTTTCAAATAGTATCGAACGATATTGTTTCAGCACTAGAAATCTCTGTGATACTCTAAAAATTTATTTTTATTTTTAATTATAAAATTTAAAGATCCAAATATAAAGTACATCAGCAAATCTATGAACACTTCAAAATCTTGGAAATTGATTGTCAATAAAATGTATTACAATATTTACTATTTCTAGTTTTTTTTCGGATAAGTACTATTTTCAAAATTTAAAATCTATTTTTTCTTTTATCCATACATCTTGAGATCGTGATAATCAATTTGCGGATTTTTAAGTATCGAAGTAACTTTTTCTAGTGAATTTTTGAGGTACTCCCTAATTTTATTTTTTAAAACCTCAACCTTTTGAAAATTGGGTTGGGGCTGTGGTGGTAGTACTATTTGTACTCAGTTAAGATCTAGGCGTCTATTTTCACCTACCATATTTAAAAACCAGTAACAATTTAAAAACAAGTACGGACTCATCGTCCCCAGAAAAACCCGAATAAAAAAAAAAAAAACCAAAACTTTTCCACTAAAGTGGGACTCGCATGCTATGACATGATGGAGGACAGTTTAGATATATTTGATAAAAGATTGCGGTGTTTTGGTCAGCTTAAATAGTTGTCACACACACTCGAGTGGGCATCCAATGCACCACTCCATATTCCAAGCGCCGGCGTCTCTTTGCAGGCGCATCTCATGACATGTGTACGCGCACCATTGTGGTGGGGTACACCCATTAAACATAAATGAACGGTCCAGATTTTACGCTGCCCATTATCAGAGGTTCTTGTTGAAGACAGATCTGAGCCGTCGAACACCATGAGATCGTTGCCAGATGGGAGTGTTAATGCTGATTTGATGGTCTTTTTTCAATGTATATACAAGAGATTGGTATAAACTTTTTGACTTGACTCTCTAGGTTGGAGAAAGGCGTTCAAAGGATATTTGATTTTGGAGGATCCCATTCAAAACCATTCATCATTGACAAGCAAGGTGCGTACGATATTTTAGAAACAGGTAGTGAGACTGGAATGGAGCAGTGTTTTAAAACACAAATAAGTGGGATGGATCGCCCCCCTTTAGATTTCAACCCCAATTGCTGATATGGATGGGAGGGTGAAACCCAAAAAATTAAAAAGAATGAAAAAACTTTTCAAATTTTTGATGATTTAAGATATTTTCAAATAAAAAATTAGATTTGCAAATAATTTTATCATTCCATAAGTATATTACATATGGGAAAGGTTTCTATGCTTCACCTACAACATAAAAGTTTTATCCTCCCCCTACCATTCAGCCGTCCAATTTTGATCAAGAGAGCTACTCACCGTTTGATTTAAGATCGGACGTCTTAAAATATTTTATTTTTAGCTTTTTTTATACAAATTGTATGAATATGAAAATTAATACGTGCCATCTTCTCATAGGGGATAAAATATAATGACTAAAATGCCTCTTGAAACTTTTAAGAATAT